TTACATCGCATATCCTATATACTTTGACGCTTTTCCATTGTATATGAAAACGTAATCAACATGTTCACGAGAAATTCAATTGTTATAGACAACGTTATTCTTTTGTTTCAATTTTCCGGACAATTAAAATGTTTAATTACATAACATGCGGATAGCAAGTATCTTTTATATCCATTTGTGACAGTAACGGATTGTGTCACAGTTTTGCAGAATCATTCATTCATTAATTCAAGCATTTTTTGCAGAAAGAAATCATTCTTTTGTGGAGTGTAATGTCTGTAAAAGGACGAGCAAAAATTTCCAAAAAGTGACATTTTATGTCGGTTTTATGTTGTTTAGATACCACATGTGCATGTTACAAGCGAAGTATACGAGTATACTGGTTTAATTTGTGATTATGATTTCGATAATAACCATAAGGTGTAAAAATAAATCTCGAAACCCAAATCAATTTTTGATATTTGTAATAGAATCTGTTTAAAATACTAAATATGCAGAAGTTTAACAATAAATTTTGTGCGCTTTATCATTTTCAGCTGTTTTTAATTTGTTAGAAATAATATTTTTTCTGGTCACTCGGATTGCTAGGCAACGTGGTACTTTTCCCTCTTTCTAACATACGTATTGCAGGCTTCTCTCTTGTACACATACGACGTCAGTGGTATATGGGTTTCACTGTATATTTTTAATTTCACTTAAATTACAAGAGTGATTTAGATGAAACTCTGTGAATCGGCAGTAGACATTAAATGACTTAATCTGTATTCGATTACCCCAGTGGTGGCGCTATCAAACTTTAAAAGGGTGTTTCGGGGTTTATCTAAGCAGGTCACTGTTCAGATGAAAGTTTTCTTGCCTGCTTGTAAAAAAGAAGTTTAGAAATTTGCAACCAGAGATGTTCGCAGAAAAAAAACTCCCAGAATAAAACAGAAATGTGGTGATACCCTTGAATCACCCTAAACTTATTCATCAGGAAACAGGAAAGACAACAAAACGCACATTTTTTTACTGAAGCATATTTACAAGACAAATACCGGAATACATTTGACTTCATATGGATCAAAATCTGTGGCTTATATTATTTTTTACACTTTTCAGTTTATTTCTGTGAACTTATGTTTATTGCTAAAGCTCTGAAATTTCTTATCAACAGGAAAGTGGCAATTTTTGTTCGTCTTGAATACCCTTGATCATAGTCACAAAGAAACCAGTGGCGGGCTTAGAAAAACCTCGAAATACCCGGTAAAAATTTGATTGCTCCGCTCCTGGGGTAATTCAGCTGGTTATCACTAGTAAAATAATGCCCATAATGCCTACCATCGACTCAAAGAGAATCATCTAAATCGGTCAAGAAATTTAAGAGTAATTAAAAATATCAATTTTAGAAGAAATCAACTTGAACATCAGTAAGGAAGCCGTAACATGCATAAGTTGACAAGAACTTTTTTATTCGGTTTACTGAGATGTATCAGCTGAGATATTATAAACCTGAATAACCGCTTACGTAAATAAGCGAAATTTAAAAATGAACATTTGAAAATCAAATGTGTATAAGATTGATAGGTACAGTTTTTAATGTACAGATGCATTTCACTAAAACTCTTAAGTCGGAGATCTGCGCACCCGATTTACCCACAAAACGAGTTTCAGCGAAATTACAGATATCCGAAGATTTTGAAAAACTTTCTTCTATATGCGAGTCCGGTTTTAAACGTTTTTCGGTATAGGCATGCGCAGTTTTGATATGACGTTTCTAGAATCTATATTTTCAATTTTACATTCACCAGCAACTCAAAAGGAGGAGGATTTGTATAAACATTTTTCAACTCTTCCGTAAACATTAATATAAATTGATAAATTTCAAAAGAATAGATTAATAATAATAGACGTCGGCCAAATAACCTGGTGAACACATTACAACCTATATATAAAGGTACATTCTATACTTAAAAAAACTAAATTTTTATAGGTAAAAAAAGTAGAAATAGAGAGATGTAAGGTCATAAAGCCAAATAATAGTTCATGGAACTGAAACAATTATTTTGCTTGTTAAGAAGATATAGCTTGTAGCATTTTTTGAACCACTGTAAGAAATTTTCCTCAAATACTTCAACCCCCTTGTTGAAAATGGTTGAAGAATGCGTAGGAATAACATATAAATTTTAAATTATAATAATAATAATTATAAAATAAGATACAGTCATTTACGTATCTAGGGCGTTAAGCAGACAGTTATGTCTCGTGGCGTGCAACCAGAGCCCAGGGTGCGGAGCGCTGCGGGCTTTAATACGTCGAGCCACATGCATACTCTCTAAGTAGAATTGAAAATAAAAATGGATTGACCATACCATTTGTACCACCAGTAGTTGCCCGTTCGTCTTGTAAAGAATAAATAAGAACAGTTGCTGTGGTTGCCCTATTATCTTCAACATTGGTTAATTTATTCATAGTGGGCGCTCAAATTACTTTATCAAACTAGGGCATAAAGAGGTCCGTGGGCTGGATAGTGGGAATTGACGCACGGAAAACCTATTTGGTATAATTTTTCATTTTATGTTTCAATATATCATGATTATTATTGCTATTTTTCCAGTAGAATCATCTCATCATCCACCTCGGTCGCTATTAAATACTGGACGATAGACGATCTCAGCTAATTGGACTATGTTCTTCTTCACACACTCATTATAATCCATAACAATACAACAAGTTACAATATTTTCTCACAATTCTCCTGATGTATCAATTTCATCTTAATCAAAGTGTGTACCTTGTTGACATAACAACGTACCTCGCAAGGCGTGTTAGATACCGGCGATAATAGCTTTAATAGACTTATTCCTGCTACCTAAGGTCGACTTACATTGTACGTAATTGCTCCATGGTATTCAACGCCAGATAAAGTTACCTACAATGAGACATGCAGGTCGAAAAAACGAGGTCAGCCATTTTTAATACATACTTATATTTCGGAGGTGTTAACGGGTTTTGCAAGAATGGAATATGCGTTCTGGGTTACCGCATACGGCGATTGGGTTCAAAAGATGATGTATCGCATGCTTCGCTACAGGGTTGGTTTAAGAAGTTTTTTTGACGAATATGAAGCAGGGCTCACGTTTCATAGGCTGAATAGGATCGAAAAACTTAGTATTGTGATGTGTGCAACCAAGGAATAGGTTTGTCAATCGCGGACCTAGAGGGCCCTACGTACCTGAAGGCAAAGGTCTGGACCGCCTTCAGAGACAATGACAAATACAAGTAGCAAGAAACCACAGCTCCCTGTTATCTTTGAACAGGGGTGGATATAGCCAAAAAAATGTTTTGCAATGACCCACTCAAAACAGCTTTAAGGGGGGGGGGGTTAGAACTCATGGCCATGAAGATTCCCATCTTAATAGCACTTAATAGACCACATCTACTATACACCCAGAATCGTCAGCCATTTAGCGGTCACATGGTGACTGGACTATTATACAAATAGCAGTTATGCGCTCTTGCGCTCTCGCAGTGGCCGATGCCGGTGATAGATGGCGCTTTACGCTGTCTTATTTAGTTAGTCCTTGTAGCCATTGCAGACAGGGGGCGTATCAGCGATTCAACATTGAAGAGCTCTTGCTTGAAAGGTATCGGTACATGATGGCTTTTTAGCAGAGGCTTGCGACTGAAGCCGCAAATTTTTTTAAAAAATAAACCACAATCCTCCGTACCTCGCAAAGTTAAAACAACCGGGACCATTACACAAATTCAGCCAGATTAATTGAGAATGGACATTTGGAATTCGTGTCACTGTGCATAGCCGCGGCCGGCAATTGACACAGGTCATTTTCCGTACAAAACATACGTGAGCGCTTCCAATGAAAAATCTCAGTAATATCTTAAGGTACTATCCCGTTCTGTGAGGGCGCCAAGACACCGATAAAATAACAATATATTTGAAATTTTATTTTTTTATCGCTACAGCAAGTTAAATATGTCATCGTTTTGGAGGTATTTCCATGGTCTACAAATTTCGTTTGAAGCATTTTAGCTCTACTTCATGGTTCTTGAGTTCATAGGAAAAAGTTTTATTCAGCATTGGCGGTCAATAAAACAACTGCCCAGCAAACTTTTTTGCATCTCTAGAACCCAAGTCAATACAATTTGTCATAAAAGTTGCGACTTTCGTTTACACCCAGGTCTAGATCTTGTAAAAATAATCACCAAAGTCTTGACATTATCTAGATGTTAGGCTCCGCAAAATAAATCAAACCTGAGCAAAACCTAATCCGGTCCTGCACCTCGATCAGATCAAACGTGAACACGTGCGCATCGCGTCAGCACTCAATTCAGGCGGTGGCCGCATTGGCAAACAAAAACCTTTACACATCGGTTAAAAAAAACTGTCACACTCATACAGCATAATTGACGTTTTCCATATTATTTTAATTCGCGGTGAGTGTCTTCGAAATGCTACCGAGGCTTCGCGAGTGCATGCAGATCATTTTTCAAGATACTCCGAGCTTTCTTTTTTGTTTGAGGCGAAATGATATTTTTAGTGCAAAAAACTGAGGTGGATACGCTTGACGAACTACATGTGCGAATTCAGCAATCTGCTGCATTGATTCTAAAAGCGTACTCTGATGATTGGCTACGTCGAGCACATACATGTTTCTGTGAATCTATCGCAGACAACTTTGAACAATTACTTACAAGTGACAGAGCTGTACTTGAAATATCTTTCCGGTGAACGGCGAGTACTTTTTCATTTATTTTTTTTCTACGTTTTCGCTGTTGTTTCACCGCACTTTAGCTTCGTTACAACCAACGTAGTTGTTTCTGAAAAGGAAAGTCCCAAGTTTCGGGACACCCTGTATACCCTGCTCCTAAGTCGCCATGATCTCCATAGAAATATTTGAAGAATCAATTCATGAATATCAGCATATCATTAGCGAACAAACAACCTGTATAATAATCAAGTAACCCCCGTATATGCTTAAATTCGAGATGTAAATCTTCCTCACCAGACTCATATTCTTCCTGCATTCTTCTTCTGATGTCACAGTTGTGCATTTCGCTGCGCCTTCTTCTTTCGTTCACTCCTATCTCGTCGATCGCTACGTAATTCTCTTGGTCGCTCATCAGGGAATCGTAACCTCGCCGGTCTTCTGGGTACCTGGGCAAGTAACCTCTGGGACCTGCGGTTGGATGACCTCGTGGGTCACCTGGAATAGTAACATATATAATATCAGGCACAATAAGGGGTAATTACATGTCACATTATTAGAACAAAGCTTTGTTCTTTGGCGATTTTGAAAATTTCTACTCGAAGAGAAACCGAAAATAGTATTTTACTTCCCATACCTACTGGCGAGGAAGTACCTATTGTAATCCTGAAATTTTGAAAATGTGATATGTGTTTTGGATGTTATATGAAATATACATCGGAAAAACCATGTCACTAATTTCCGACGGCCTGCTTGACGGTCTGTCTGTAGATCTGTCAGTCTTTCTGCCTGTCTGACCGCTAATCTTGTCATACTCTATGTATACAGGGTGTTTCAGTTTATAACTTTAAAATTCGATAGAACTTTTGAAATTAATGCATACAGTCTATATAAACATGGGTCGAAAAATGCGTGGCTTCCGAAATACAGGGTGTTTAAATTTACTTTTTAAAATAGTTTTTTTCAAATATTTCGAACAATATTTGATGTATAACAGTGAAAATTGGTATACAAGGGTTTTTTGGTACGACAAAACGAACCATAGTTTTACTGTAGCCGCTAGAGGGCGCTCTCTACAGTACCTGTAGTGTATTAAAATGACCGACAAAATTTTCTTAGTGCAATTTTTTGCTTTTTGAATAAAAAAACTGATTCTTCGCACTTTTCTGCATAAAAAAGCCCCCCTGTGAGTTTTCGTTATAGTTAGCCGTTTTTGAGATATTTCGATTTTTAAGGTTCGATGCATTTTTAATTATTTATGGGAAAATGATATTTTTTTTAAATTTTCGATTTGGGCATTACAAGTAATTAAGATGATCGTGATAGATTGTGTTTTTAAACACAGCAATAATTCCTAACTCCAAATAAACACAAAAAACAGAATATTGATTTGTTTAATTTTCCTATATTATTTTTAACAAATTAAATTAATTATTTACAACTAAAATGCTATTGTATAGTTAGGACAAACATACAAAATCTAAAGTAGTTGCTCGAAATGTAAACCCAATTGTTCAATACACAATTCACATCTACGAATGATCGAACGTGGTATAGCATTATTCAAATAAGGCCTTATTTCATCACATGCATTCCTGATTCTGTCTATTCGCATATCTCTTGTGGTTACGGGAGTCTGGTACACTTTTTCTTTTAGAAATCCTCACACAAAGAAATCTAATGGATTTAGGTCAGGGGATCGTGGAGGCCAGGCGACTGGTCCTCCACGGCCGATCCATCTTTCTGGATAATTTTCGTCCACCCAGTTTCTAACTATTCTCGAATAATGAGCTGGACAACCATCAAGCTGGAACCAGGCCAATCTTCTTAAATCTAACATATCATCCCACATATTTGCATGTTCAGCCTTTAAAAATTCCAAGAAGGTCGCAGCATTTAACCTTGGAGGCAATAGGTAGGGTCCAAATAGTCGATTACGGTAGATACCAATCCACACGTTCACACTAAATTCATGCTGAAAATTTCTTTCCCGAACTGCATGCGGATTTTCATGCGACCAAATATGTTGATTATGAAAATTTACCACTCCACGTCTAGTGAAGCATGACTCATCGGTCCATAAAACGTTACTTAAAAACTCCCTATTATTATCAGTTCTATCAAGAATCCACTGACAAAATGTGATTCTTCGTTCTCCGTCCCCTGGCTGTAGTCCTTGCACAGGTTGCAAATGGTAAGGACGTCTATGGTCATTTCTAAGAACACGGTGAACATGGCTTGTTGAAATTCCCAAGGCACCAGAAACTCTCCTAACACTTGTGGTCGGATCTCTATCAAACTCACGCAGAATCATACGGGTAAATCTGCGCTGACGAACATTTATGTTTTGATCCCTTTGGAGATTTCCAAAACCATTTTCAATTATTTGGAGATGCACTCTTACAAATATTGAGCGAGTTGGATGTCGTCTGTTTGGAAATCTTCGTGCGTATTCTCTGGCTGCTTCTGCTGCGTTTCCATTTACAAAGCCATACACAAAATGAATATCCGCTAACTCTTGATTGGAGAATAAAAATGGCATTTTTATAAAACTTACAAAAAAAAAACAGGTAAAAGGAACTAAGTTTCGTGCATTCACAATTGCAAAAAACGTTTCAGGTTTCAACAGACAACAAAACTAACTGTCAACTAATTGACGTTTAACCTTATTCTGCGTTCAATTTCAAAAATATTTGCAGGCACAGCTTACTTATAAAAGTTATCGAGATACTGACTTTTTAACGTTATTTTATCATAAATAATTAAAAATGCATCGAACCTTAAAAATCGAAATATCTCAAAAACGGCTAACTATAACGAAAATTCACAAGAGAGCTTTTTTGTGTTGAAAAGTGCGAATAATCCTATTTTTTATTCAAAAAGCAAAAAATTGTCATTTTAATACACTACAGGTACAGTAGAGAGCGTCCTATAGCGGCTACAGTAAAACTATGGTTCGTTTTGTCGTACCAAAAAACCCTTGTATACCAATTTTCACTGTTATACATCAAATATTGTTCGAAATATTTAAAAAAAACTATTTAGAAAGTAAATTTAAACACCCTGTATTTCGGAAGCCACGCATTTTGCGACCCATGTTTATATAGACTTTATGCATTAATTTTAAAAGTTCTATCGAATCTTAAAGTTATGCAATAATAAACTGAAACACCCTGTATAACTTGGAAAGTACTGTTCGGATTTCAATATAATTTTCACAAAACGTTACTACTATGCCAAGGACGAAAAAGCTCTGTAGTTTTTGAAAATCGAACCTACGGCGGCGGAACTAGCGGCAAAAACACGAAAAAAATAAAAAAAACTTCGTTTTTGACGTTTCAGAGGCTCTTGATCGTTTTCAGAAAAAAATTTGTAGGAGTTGGGAAACTTCCAACCACAGTCATTTTACGACCATGTCACATCACAAATGTCCCCGTACATTTGCCCTTATAATTTAGATAAATATTTATAGACGAGATCTTCGAAATTTCACCTCGTTTCGGAAATGAAGGGCAAAACAAACTGAAAATTGTATTTTTGTTACCAAAGATTAACAGTGGAGTTTCGGAATCAACAAAAACCATTCAGAACGTGAATCCGCAGCGAAAATGTATGACTTCCAACCTCTCATAGAGTGACGATTTCAAGTGCAACAGAATCATTTTTTGTCGAACTAGTAATTATTCAGTTCCTCAGATCTTTCACATTTTTACTCTACTGAAATAATATAAAGTTAAATATATCAATTCGGTTACTTGCAGAATTGTAATTCCTACACATCACATGCAAAGGTGAATAATGTAAATAATTTTTCCGTGCCGCAGGTAGATAAAACGTAACGTTATGTCGGGATGTCAGCCTAGGTACGTTAAATGATAACTGACCCAAGAAAGCTAAATCATCACTAGCATTATTGATCAATTTAAACAGAAAAATCACTGACTGGCAAGTGCGCCTTGCTTCAAGACTGCTGATTAGATAGTTTTCAAGTAAGGAATCATGAGGTAGGTATACCTATTTTAATTGAGTATCTTCAGGCAACAATTAACGTATGGCAGTGATGTTAGTCAAAAAGCAATGACGCTGTTTTGATTAGAAAATCTGGATAGGGTGGAGTCTTCAAATATACGCTCATTCTGAGCAGTTTTTTGTAAGTTTGTAAGATTCACCTGTGATTTTTTTCTAATAAAATGCATTTTTCGGATATACTGCTTGTCTTGTTTTCATATATGTGGTATCTTCCAAACGGATCGGTTTTTGAAAATCGACAAAAAACAAAATAGTCTTGAGAATCAACTCTTGAATGTTTGACCAATGTCTTGGAAATGCATTGTATAAAAAGTAAATCTAATTTTATGGTATCTACGCACAGCTATTAGTCTCACCATTTTCTTAACTATTTGTTATGCCTCGCTATGGACATTAATGTTGGAACATTGGATCGCGGAAAATTTGCTATTTCATTCGAGATTCCACCTTTCGGCAATGCTGATTTAAGGGGTAACATCATTGCAACCGCCGAATCAGAACTATTTTGTTAATTTTTTCGTAGAAGAAATGATGATAAAATAATAATATTGGAAGCTATTGCATATATTTGAGTAACAAAAAAGAAAATTATCATAAAGAATATTCAAAACGTAATTTTTCAAAACGGAAGGTAGCGTAACTCGAACAAAATAATAGCGTTTTTTTTGTTTGAAAACTGTTCGTTTTCATTCAAATACTCGGCCACGATAAAAAAGCAATATTTTTTAAATCTCCTAAGCACTGCTTCATCTACAAACATGAAAAATGAAATGTTTTTTTTTTTATTTTTTTTTAGATCCATATTTGCAGTAGCTACAGTGCGTGCCGCAGAGCGTCTCAAACCCCATGTGCCTCGCGAAATATCGTTTTAAAATAACACTGTTAAACACAGGATTTGTGACATGACAATTTTTGGGCGTAAAACAGAATTTTTTTATTACATCTACTTTTATGAAGTACAATACGTAAAATCTCATATTGCTGCATTTCTTGGCGTTTATGCGATAACGCGCATATATAATGTTAAGACCTGTCTATTCCTGTTTATTATATGCGAGCTCTATGTTTAGAGATCATATTGCGTTCATTAGTAGACTAATAGCAGCCGAGTCGGTTACGTTTTCTGTGTTGAACAGTAATGGAGATGTTCTGAGTACTGTTAATTGTTGTTAAAACGGTGTGTTGTTTTCAGTTTATTGTGATCGAGTATAGATTTATGCCTAGAAATTGTGTAAATAGTGCGAACAGTTTTTGTTATGTGTGCGGAGACCTAACTTTTAAATCCCAAAAGCGTACTTTTACTCCCCTTGTGTTGAAAGCATACGAACTTTATTTGGGAATTAACCTTGGCGTCCAAGATAAACTATGGGCCCCTCATATATGTTGTAAGACTTGTATAACGTTGTTAACAGGTTGGTTAACCCTTAACCGGCGTGGCCGAAAATTGTAACACATATGGCGTTGCGGAGTCCCTGGGACTCCAAAATAAAAAATGGTGTTCTTTTTCAAGTTTTTGAAAGAAACAGTGGTTTTTAGTTAAATAATTAATCATAGATATGTATGGAAATAACTTTTATTTTTATAATCATTTAAGAAAAAAAACTGATGCAAACATAATCTAAAACTAAAAATGTTAACAAAAATAAATATTGCACTCTATTGATTCTCATTTTTAAAACAAAACAAAAAAATAACAACTTTTTATATTGAAACCATATTTTACAATGTCTGAACTAGAAATAAAAATAATAACATTGACTTTCAACCCTAAAACAAAAAAAATAACAAAGGACCAAATATTCCTAAAAAAAGAAAGAAATAATTATGATTCTTCTACATTTTCAATGCATTGAATACACATTTTTTTGGAGCATTGTAAACATATTGGTTTTTTGCAATGAACACATAGATAACCAGTTTTTCTTTTTAATTTCGGGTCACAGATAAAACAATATTGTCTCTGATTTCTAGGCAAAGTTTCTGCACCATCGGCTGGTGCCTCCGGGGCAATCTTCAAAATTCTGACAATACCTGCTTTCAACTCTCTTGGCAAATTTGTTTTTTGGGATCTTTCATGGAGAAGTGGTTCATACAGTTGTTTGGCCAATAATTTCAAAAAATCAATTCTGTGTAGCCTATTTGCGTTGGCACAAGACTGATGGATGATGAATGCATTTATTGAACACATGTCCACAATTCTGTAAAACAGAGCCATAGGCCACCGTTGCGTTCTTCTGCTACAGCAATATTTACTACATTTTTCGTCTACAGCATCCACCCCAGATTTTGTGTTATTATAAAAGGCATTGATTTCTGGCAAACCGTTGTCTTCCTGCTTGGAGTGATGCATCGAAGAAATCATTAGTACAGCCTTATTTTTCTTTGGTACTCTGGAAATCAATGTTTTATTACTTGTAAAGCCATACAGTGTGGATCCCACCGGTCTTGTTCTAGAAGGTAGAAATTCTGTGGGTATTTCACGTTTGTTTTTTTTTAAAGTCCCCACGTAAGTTAGTTTGTTTTTCATGAGATAGTCTATGAGCTCTATTGAGGAATACCAGTTGTCGCCGGTGATATTTCTGTTGCTTCCAAATATGGGCTTACAAAGACGAACAACAGCTTGCGTTGGAATAGAAAACCGTTTTTCTTCTTCTGTTATATCCTCTAGCGAATCGGTACCCTTTCCACAATAAATATATGTATTGTATATGTAGTGAGTGCGAGCATCAACAAGACATTGCACTTTCAAACCATATTTTACAGGTTTACTTGGTAAATACATTTTGAATTTACACCTGCCTCTAAAACCGACCAACATCTCGTCAACAGTTGCGTTCGCTCCTAAACAGTAAGCTGACTGCGAATTTTGATTAAATTTTTTAAATATATGCGAGATTGCTGCAGCTGGGTCAGTTTTTATTCTTAGTATTCTCTCTTCATGAGTATCAAATCTCAGGCAAGCTAATAATACGGAGAATCGTTTTGCTGACATTACCAATCGAAAGATTTCTCGACCAGTCCCGTCGGTTGCAAATATTGATTCAATGGTCTCATTATTAGACTTGAAAGCAGCAGTTAACAGCAAAAGTCCCAGAAAACCATTAATTTCAACAGAATTTGCTTCCCTGTATTCTGTGCGATTTTCATTGCCTGGCTTAGAACGAAATTCCTGGATTTTCAAATTTGTGTAATGCACAACAATGTCTAGTATATCCTCAGAGAAAATTTTTCGCCATGCGTTCACCGGTTCAATGTTTGGCAAAGCATTCTTATTTCCTGGCAACTTCAATATATTATGGGCTGGTGTTCTTACATTTCGGGTTGGTTCAGTAGAAGCCCATTTGTATCTGTTTTTTCCGTAGAAATATTTTTTAACTGGCTCACTTGTTTCACTGTCCTCTCCACTTTCAGTAACATCTTGACCATCATCATCAGAAGCACTGTAAGAAAGCTCACTCCCCGTTTCGTGATCACTTGTGATGGCATTCTCGGATGTAATATTGCTCTCAGGATCTGCATCTGGATCTGAAAACTCTTCGTCACATTCTTCAAACCACCTTTGCACAGTTTCTTCAAAGTTAGGATCTGTGAACCTAACTCTGTTTGGATTCCCATACATTGTTGCAAAATTCAAAGTATACTTCTAACTGCGTCCCGGAGTCCCACGGACTCTACGTTCTTTGCTACACGCACTTGCCTTGATGATAGACTCAAGTCAACTGACCACGCGTCGGCGTCTCCCCACCATACGAAGGTACTGAACGACGCGCTCTGTTTAATAAACGGAGACGGAATTTATTAACTAGTATATACTTGCTGGAGTCCAAGGGACTCCACAACGCCGGTTAAGGGTTAAGAGGCGGCAGTCGTAAAATGTCCTTTGCGGTACCAATGGTTTGGAGAGAACCGAGAGGCCATACTACTGATTGCTATTTTTGCCTCACAAATATTAAAAGTATTGGACCAAAATCGAACATTCTGTTAAGTATTTTAATTTACCATCAGCTTTGCGGCCCGTTAAGCATAGTGATGAACTTTCTGTCCCGGTTCCACCAGAATCTTGGTCTTTGGATGAAAATGTCGAATCCACCGATTCTGAAAGTGATGGTACAGAAAGCGTAAAAATTTCCGATCCTTCGTTTGACCTGCCAGGATGTTCAATAGCGCCGCATTTGATCACACAGGGCGAACTTATAGTAATAACTTAGTTCGAGAATTAAATATGTCAACACCCCAGTCAGAAGGTTTAGCGCCAAGATTAAAAGAATGGAATCTCCTCCACGGTGATGTTAACATTACTTTTTACCGAAAACGCCAACAAGACCTCACACACTGTTTCCGTCAAGAAAGGGAGTTGATATATTGCTCCGATGTCAAAAATTTGTTTGACGCGTTTGAATAGAAACATGATCCAAATGATTGCCGCCTGTCCATTGATCCATATAAGCTTAGTTTAAAAGCGGTACTTGTACACAACGGTAATAAATAACCATCTGTACCTATAGCGCACGCAGTTTATATGAAGGAATCATATGAAAATATGCAATTTCTGTTAGAGCATATCCGTTATAATCATTATGGATGAGCCATATGTGCAGATTTAAAGGTAATAGCCCTTCTTCTTGAAATGCAGCTGGGATATTCCAAATATTGTTGTTTTCTTTGTGAATGGGACAGTCCTGCGCGAGATCGTCATTATGAACAGAAGGAGTGGCCACTACGTCAGGTATTAACTCCGGGCCTCAAAAACATTGCTCACGAACCACTAGTTGATCCCAAAAACGTGTTGCTTCCACCTTTGCATGTTAAGAGGGTTTCTGAATTTAAAACAAACATTTCCGAGACTTGGTGAGGCAAAAATTAAAGAGGGCATATTTTTGTGGGGCCACCAATGCGGAAAATTATGAAAGATGATGTAATTGACAGTGCTCTAAATGAAACTGAATTACGAGCTTGGAATGCTTTTAAATCAGTTATTGCAAATTTTTTAGGCAATGTGAAGACGGACAGTTATAAAGATACTGTGAGTGAACTAATTAATGCTTATAAAGGAATGGGATGTAACATGTCTCTAAAAATTCACTTTTTTGATTCTCATCTAGATTTTTTTTTTTTCGGAAAATTTAGATGAGGTGAGTGATGAACATGGTGAACGGTTTCACCAAGAAATTTCTGCTATGGAAAAACGGTATCAATGCAAATGGAGTGTCAATTTGCTTGCTGATTATTGCTGGACATTATTAAGAGATACTTCAGGAGCAACATATCGCTGTAAAACATCGACAACAACATTCTGAGATTAATGTTTATTCGAGTGTTTATTAGTACCCTTACGCACATATCCTTATATTTTACGAGTATAAGCAGCAAATGAGATCCCTTATTGCAAGAAAACCGTGGGTGATAGAAAAAATCGAATGCTATTTCCGGCTTTTTGGGTACGTTTTACCTAATAACCACCTTGTTTTGTCGATGTCATAAAAAATTATTTTAATTTAGATCCCCAGTTTATTATTTCTTTCATTACTGATTATATGCTCAATAACTTCCTCCAATGCCATTTTCTTCCACAAATAAAAACATGTCAAAAAATAATAATAATAATAAACAAAGTGTCGCTTGGAAAACGGATAAGTGAAATGTATTGTCAAAAAAGTGTCAATTGTACTTGACGAAGGTCACCGTTGGAATCGAAGCGTCGTAATATAATGATAAATAATAATAAAAAGGAATTTTAAACATATGTGGTTTGACTGGCCAGGTCAACCTGGGGAACTACACCTTAAGACTTATTATTTTTCTTTTTGTGAAATTTACCTGGCACATAGTAGAACGAATTGCAATTCGCCTCTGCGAACTCCCCACCACTACTGCTTCCGCTTGGCATGCTTCTATTGGAGCTGAGCTCCATGGAGTCCAGTTGCTCCCTGATGTAGGCGTAGTTTTCCAGGTCCCATGGGTCGATGTATGGTTCCTTCGGGAGAGTAAACGAGTCATCCGAATCCGCCTCGGCTGGACTCCAGTAGAGTGAGTCACCTGGCATCGTGGTTGATTATCTGGAAAAAGGTTCATCAAGTCGGTTTTTTAACACTTCTTTATGAAGCGAAATAATATGGGAAACATTGAGACACGAATACCACAGTTTTATCAACTATAAATGGAAATGTTATAGAGATTATCTCAATAAACGAGTTGGCTCCATTCAAACTTTGTAAAATCATGTGTCGCTACAGTGCTTTGACAAATTTCAGTTATTCCTATCAATTGAAGTCTGGTGCAAAAGGTGTTAACTCAGATTTTATAGTTTGGAGATAATTGGCCTCAAAGATTAAATCCTGACGTTTTTTTATTGAATAGTGTCAGGGCTGCTTTCATTATTGAAGGTCATTTGAGACACATACAAATATCTCGAATAGGTAGTTTTGTTAAAAAATTTCTTTTATTATCAGAAATTTGAAAAATATTTTTCAAAATATGACTTGACGCCTTTTTTAAAAACTGTTATTTGCTTTGTCCGGAAAATGAAAGTAGCAGAAATTCAATGATGTTATTCATTAAAAGTAAAAATTGTTCTTTTTTCTTATTACAAACTCACAAAAGTAATAACAAATAATCCACACACTGTAACTAATCGTCTCCTCTTCTTAAATTTTGATAAAAGCCTCTAAAATCTCTATAATTTGCTGGCATTAAAGGAATTTGTTCCTGAATATTATCAAACTTTTTGGCCTCTATAGGTCGGCTTCTATCGACATTCAATAATATGGTTCATTCTCTACTCTTCCATCGATATTTCGCTGTTTTCTTATATCAACAATAGTCCAATTTTCTGTTTCATTAAAAGAGTGCCTGTACTTGGTTATAGCAAATTCTTCAATCTAGATCCATCTTACACTCTGAATGAGAATTTCTCATTAGTTGTTAGTTTTTTTTTCAATCGACCAGTTCAAGATTTCTTGGAATTTCTTTAATATCAACAAATTTATCCGCCATTCTTGTAATATTAAAAGTTTTTTCCCTGCTGCTGCCATGATTGAAATATATTGATCCACCGTATAAATTAGTTGATGCTTTCTGATAGACTTTTCTATAGCTGCTAAATCTCTATCAGAATTTATGAAGGTATGTCTTACTTCAGGGAACTTATGGTCAATTTTTTTAACACTCCAGAGATTATTAGGTAGTGCTACAGAGAGACAATATAATTTTTTTCTTTTTAGCCACCTGCCGAAGCACTCCATGCAATCAGATGATCGGAAGCCAGAATCCTTGATATTTTCCAAAAAGGCCATAAGTGACCGCGATTTTCTTCGTCTTCTGTTCAGACGTAGAAAAAACTTTTACCATTTGGTTGCTGTCTTGATATCAAATGTATATCCGGGTTGTAGAGCCATACTTGTAAATAGAAGTTTTTTATAAATAAAATGTCAGGTGTGTGATGTTTCATTTGTTTTTGCTATTCCTCGATCAGATCTTTGTACTTCAAAAGCTTTTTTATACTTTGCAACATGTTCCTCATTCTATCCTACATCGCAAACATTTTTACATTTTAAATGAAAACTGAATTAACTCTTGAGTTAACACCTTTTTACCTATAATGCAAGAATTAACACCATTTGAACTTTACAGATTGAAGTTTTTGATATGGTAAAGACTTTTATGAATCTCTGTATCTAAGAACTGAGAGCCATCTTTGGCCGGACTGATGCAAAAAGCACCCTTTTAACACCTTTTTGCACTACAAATCTTAAAATCCGAAGAAATTCAGTTAACACCTCTTTGCACCAAAGTCTTCAGTTGATACCTGACTCCACCAACCACATCTTAAGCGTTTCTAGCATATTCACTTTTACGTTCTTTGATGAGGTATGTTCAATCCTAAGCTTGACCAATATTTATTTCGCATTTCTGCAGTCAAAATCCTGAGAGGATGAACCGATTTGTGCTCACAAAAAACAGTGGTGGTAGGTCATTTCTTTCTTATCGGGCGATTTATCTGATTGTAGCTTTTACAATAAACATTATTATTATTTCTAGACAAGAATGTTGCTAACAGACCATCAGTTGTGTTCGTTCTGAAATAAGACAGTCCCCACAGAGATGAGTCAGTTTTTTGTGACAGTTCTGTCATTAAGTTCGTATTTTAAGTGTTATTTTTTAAAAGTGCATGTGTTCGCAGATAATTGTGGTATTTGTCGATTCCAAGACATGGTACTTCTTAAATAATTGCAAAGAGCATCGGTATATTATTATGTTGATATAAAACGCTGTCACTTTGGTAGCATTGGTAGATAAATGAGTCAAGAGTGTGCACTAAAACTACGCAAATTCGGTGAGAAATAATGAAATGTAAACGTATAGGCTTGGCTTCTAACTTATTCGAATGATCGCCGCAAGAATATGATTGTGGGCAAGCTTGAAGATGCGCTTACAGAATGGTCTCGTCCGAGGCACTGTTGGTGGTGCCTGGTATCCCACCAATTTGTTTGCTGGCTGAAGAGAGATATGCGCTCTATAAAAAGGGCGCCGAGGCTAGAAGCGACGAAAGAGATGCGATATTTGTCAGATGGCAGGAAAGATGGGCCATGGTGCATGTACTACAAGGTTGATTCCAGATATTAAAACTTGGACTGACAATTGAGCGGTGATGATAGACACCGCAAAGTTCCCCACATGACATTTTTGTTTTGGCAGCTTCCTGAAGAATGTAGGAAAGAGATAGTACGGGAACTGTGTATATTGCAACGAAGAGGATGGTACTTCTAATCATCTACTGGGATATAGTAGATGGCTTTACTACCCGAAACATCTGGAATAAGCCCTCGGCAAGGGGCTCACTGTTGAAATTGTTGTCATCTATATAATCGAAGGTAAGTCGGCTGATATATTCAACCAATAGTGAGGCGGATGATGCTGAGTAAGGTACAGAAGGAAAAAAATAGACCAAGGAACCTAACATACCTGCTCGATTGTAGATGTATATAAGTACTAACGTAAAACCTAGAGCAACGCTACCCACTATGAAGCTACAAGCATTACCGTGGTGGGACGTGTGGCGAACTATTGAGGGATTTATACTGCCGAGCTTTTCTACCTGAAAGTGGATATAAAAGCTGTCAAATTAACTGAGCGAAGTGAAGTGAGTATATCTGAGGTTGTCTCTAAAACAAACTCGACTGTCAATATGACATGATTCTGACATATACTGGTAGTATTAAAAGCCCAAAGTCGCGCGACATGTTCGAGAAATCGCGCGATAAGGATTGTCGTATGACTACCCCATCAAAACGCGGAACACAAATCCTACAAATCAACTGGCTCCTAGTTGAACCAAAACCATCGGATACTCCGTGATTTTTCTGGCCACTCCTAGTTTTGAACGCACTCCTACTTTAATTCAAGATATATTCGTAGATCATGTTTATGAAGCATAACAAAAAATAGCATGTAAACATGTCAACAATCTTGAAGAGCGGCTTGTCATGTCCAATCAAAAGTACAGTTTAAGAATACGGTAAAAAAACAAGTACGTATAAATATGCAAAACAGTCCTAGACGTACTCTTTGATGTACAACATACCAAGTGATCTATAAATATTTAAATAAACGCGAATGTACAGTTTGTCATGATCTAGATCTCGGAAACTAGCAAACCGAAGAATTTTTGGCAAGTGGGGCAAAATGAAATAAAATACCTACATGAAATTATCTATACCTTTTTGTTTTTGAGTGGAAGAATAGTGAATGGTGAATATAAGGTGCTTGGCGTAAGGATGAGTGATGGAAGTACCGCTAGAAACAATTAGTAACATATTGTCAAAATGTAGAAGTTTCATAGTTTAAATTCCTTTTAGCTGAAATTTACAAGACTGTGTTGTTTTATCACAATTTCGAGTAGTTTATTCAATTTTGGATATTATTTTTGATGTAATTTTAATAAGTTTCAAAAATTAAAGGAACAAGTACATATTTAAAAAACGAAAAAAACGACTGCAGTAACTGAAAAGAATAAAATTTTAATTGTGCTATCAATCCCATCAAATGTTTAAAACCCGCCATTTACAGGAAATAATAAAATTTTAGTCTTGCTATCGAATTATAAAGTCGTTTGGGCTGTATACCGTGAAATATAAATTTCAATGTTAAAATTTGGGTTTGAAATCCGCCATTCAACATACTCGCAGTGTCAAGACAAATCTAGAGACGCATCATATGTTAAAATCCAACAAGTCGTTTGAGGTGTAGCCCGTGAAATAGGAATTTCAAAGCTCAAATGTTCGCTCAAAGTTCCCCATTTATATTTTATAAAAGTTTCATGTGCCCAGAGTCATTCGTGGTGCTGAGATGCCAAAAGCCACCAAGCCGTTCGACTGTCGCCGGGTAAATAGGGTTAGTCCTGTTTTCGTGCATACATACATACATATAATGCTTTATGATGACTACAGTACTAACCAGGTAAGGTTAGAAAGGAGTAACAGTTATAAGGACCTAGGTGTTACATTTGATGTCAAGTTCACTTTTAATGATCATATAAATAGCATTACATCGTCTGCTTTCCGAATGCTAGGGTACTGTGTTAGAAACTGGTCAGGTTTCTCGAACTTTGAAACGCTCAAGCTTCTATATCTAGCATATGTCAGAAGCAAGCTTGAATATGCAACGCTTATATGGACACCTATTTATCAAAACTCTATTAGCAGATTGGAATCTATTCAACGAAGAGCAGTAAAGTTTATGATCTTCAAATGCAATGGTTTCTATCCACAAAGAGGCTTCAACCATAATGTATTGCTCAAAACTTGATATCAAACCGCTTGAAGCACGCCGAAATATTTCCGCTATTTCCGCTCTATCTTTTTTGTTCAATTTACTCCACAATAAGGTTTGTCCATATTATATTCTAAGTAAGATATGTTTTAATGTTCCTCGCTTAGGTAACCGTTATTGTGCTACATTTTATTATGATTTCTGCCATACCAATGTCTTGTCCAAGTCTCCCGTGCATAGGATGTGTACAATATTCAATAGTATCAGTAACTACAACATATTTAATTAT